TTTGGGGTAACACCAGAGCTCGGCACTTTCTTCTCCACCTCAGAGCTGATTCTCATCTTCCCTCAGCTCACTGCTGCTTCACCTCTACTGACACTTGTCCTTTCAGGACTTGGGTTAGTGGCATAGTTCCTGTCTAAGCACCTGGGGCCCTGTAGAAAGCGCCTGAGTGAGGCCTAGGGCATTGGGGTCCAGAGAAAGGGTTTGTGGGGGAAATGTCAACCAGGATTCCAAAGGAGATGGGGACAAAGAGCTGGTGTGTGTGTGTGTGTGTGTGTGTGTGTGTGTGTGTGTGTGTGTGTTTGAGGGGGCCATGACAGCCATAAAGGCCTCCCAGGTCACCTCTGAAGACTGATGCCCATGGGTTTGTGCTGACCAGTACTGACGTAGACGTGTGAACTTCATTAAGTGTGGCCTTTACACCACCTTTGGTTTGTTTTATTTTTCAGAAAATAGCAGTTGTTTTTAAATATATAAAAAGATGAGCTGTTGGGCTGGAGAGACGGCTCAGCCATTAAAGGCTAGGCTCACAACCAAAATATAAAAATATAAACTGCTGTACAGTGTAGGTTTATCAACACAATCACCTTGCTCTTACTCTCCCAGCTGATCTCTGTGGCTCATACAACACTATTAGAAGGTATTCCAGTATCCAGTCTCTCAATTCTTGCAGCCTCTAGAGGACGTCGGAGTTGAGGGGACTACTCCCTCCCCCATGCTTCACCCTGTCACCCCACTGAGGCATTATTGCTTTCTCCCTGGGCCACATACACTCTGAGGCTGAATGCTCCCGGGAGCCGATCCCACTAGCAGAGGGATAGCCTGGGTTTTCACAGCCAGAGATGCTCCATTCTTGAGTCTGCACAGATCTCTTGGTTCTCATGTATTCCTAGATGCACAGAAAGAGAACTTGCTTGTTTGTTTATTATTGGTCCCTGTGCAAGCCTAGAATAGCCATCTCATGCCCCCCTCCAATCCAGGCGATAACGGCAGGCTTTACAGACACTGGTAACATTTGTACACTGTTTGGAGGGTCACTAACTACAGAGACCTCATGAAGAGTGGGTCAGCAGGTCCCCCCAGCCCTGCCTACCCACTGTGGAAGCCAGAACTGAAAACTGCAAGCATTTGCTTTCTCATAGGATGCAGTGTGTGCGTACGTGTGTGTGTGTGTGTGTGTGTGTGTGTGTGTGTGTGTGTATGATTGGTATTTGGGTTGTTGCCACCACCAAGCCTACTTGGCATAAAACAATTATCATTTTATTGCATGTGGATTCTCTGAGTCAGGTGTTCTACAAGGCCCAGGAGGGTTACTGTCTGCTACACCCTGTCTCGATATCAGCTTGGAAGGTCAGGGTAGCTGGAATAGTTTGGATGCCACAGAGACTGAGCTCAGTTGAACTGTCCACTACCAGGTGGCCTCTCACCTTAATGTGGGTGTTTTTAGAGCATGGTCAGTGGCTTCTAAGAGGTAGCATTTGGAGCATGCAGGTCTCTAGAGACCATGTGCTTGTGGTCTAACCAGGTAAATCACACAGCTACATTCTGTTGGCTACGGAGAATCACGAAAGGTGATTTTCCTCCTTCCCCACCGTCCTCCTCTTTAAGCCCCCATCCACAGCCCTATAAGTCCCACTATGCTTCCTCCTGCTTTTCAATCCTCAGATCAAAGTCACACGTTTTATGCTCTGTTACAATACAACGTCACCGTCAGACACCAAGTTCCCAGTTTGGTTTCTCTTGCTGTATCCTAATCTGCACCAAATGTAGTGGCATCTACCAAAAGTTGTTTTCTCATGGTCACAGATTCAGTGGGGCAGGGGCAGGAATTGGATCAGGAAACAGTGGGAACAACTTGTCTCTCTCCACGACATCTGAACTTGAGGATACTTAGCAGCCAACATGACCCTGAATTGCTAGAGATGATATATCTGTCTATGGGCAGTTGATCTGGAAGATTCTTCACTCCTGCCCTGGAAGTGATGCCAAGGATGGGCCACAGAGCAGACATCCTGCATATCAGATATTTATATTACAATTCATCACAGTAGCAAAATTATAGTTATGAAGTAGCAACAAAATAATTTTATGGTTGGGGGGTCAGCACAGCATGAGGAACTGTATGAAAGGGTCACAGCATTAGGGAGGTAAAGAACCCCTGCTCTAGACTGCCCGTGTTTGTCTGTGTAGTGTATGCCTGTGTGCATATGGACATGCAAACATGCCTACCCATGCAGGCACAAGTGGAGGTTGGGGATAATGTCAGGATCTCTTCATATTCTACACACACACACACACACACACACACACACACACCACACACACTTCAAATGCTTTTTTTTTTCCAAGACAGAGTTTCTCTGTAGCCATGGAGCCTGCCCTCAAACTAATCTTTTCTCGTTTTACATACTAATCCCAGTTCCCACTCCCTCCCCTCCTCCTTTTAAAGCATTTACTCTACTTACAGATATGTTAAGCCTGTCTTTATAGTCTTCACTTAAGACCAAAAGCTGTTGTAGTATTAAATAGTTCTTGTCTTATTAAATAAACTACTTTTAAAATTCAATTCACTGATGACGTTTACAAAGAAACGAGAATTCTGACATCAACTGGGTATTATGGACTTCTAAGAAGATTGGACGATGCCGTGATTTTGTTTAAGAAGAGCGTTTATCCTTCATAAACTCCTACTGAAATACTTACTGATTAATTTGTGTGATATTTAAAATTTAGCCCAAAAGAATTCTAAAGGATAAGCAGTTATATGCATAGAGAGATAACGGCAGCCACCAGTTGTTGATCGCGTGTATATAAATACACGGTGTTTTGTCTGTTTAGATGTGTGCTTGAAATCAACAGGCAAGTGTTAAGTATGAATGGTAGTTGCCTGTGATGTTACATCCCATGGTTTTACTTACCTCCCATCCATTATAGTCCCACTTGGGTACAAAGGCATATTTTGAGGGAACGAATGAGAAGAGACCATATTCATCTGACATTTATTGCAGTGAGTTGGTAGAATCATTCTCTTGTATTATCAGTTGCCATAAATCTCTTACTGTGCCCAATTTTTAAATTAAACTTCCCTGTATATATATGCGAATAGGTAAAAACAGTATAGATAAAGGTTAGTGCAGTCCGTGATTGAAGGTGTCCATTGTTGGCCTTGGGATGGGAACTCCATGGACAATGGGGAGTTAATACAGTAAGCACAAGTCCTTGTGCCCCGTGTTTCGGTAATTCGATGCATCACAAGAACAGGGATCCTTGTCTCCTATTCTCTCGGTGTGCCCAGTGCCTGGGACACCACACTCCCATGGTGAAAACTCCAAAGACGCATCTCTAAATTTAGCCCGTATGGTCTTCCCTAGAGGCTGCCCTGGTTTCTGTCCTCAAAACAGCAGCTCCAGGGATTTGCACTGGGGGAGCCGAGCCACAGACCAGGTGCTCTGGGCTTGGAGGAAGGTCAGTGGTGCTTCCTGAGTCCATGGGAATTGGCATTGACATGCAGAGGAAAATAGCACCATCAGCCCCAAGAGAATACTTCTAGGCAAAACAAACTGGCCCCTTAAACTGAGCAGGAATGATTTCTTTTAGAAGCTCATAAGAGAACTGCAAAGAACAAGAGGAAGAACTCCAAAGGTTGAAGGAGGGTCACAAAGCTTCTTGGGGTGAGACAGATCTCTTATGCCTTCTCTGAAACTGTTCCATGTAGAACACAAGTTAGCTAAATGCCCAGAGTGCTAACCCATGAAAGAGAAGGATAAATGGCAGTGTAAGAAAGAAGAGAGTCAGAATTGGGAGGTTGTCAAGGGGTAGACAGCGATACTGGGTGACATGTTAGTCTTATAGGTATGTTCGAGTGATCAGCTCAGAGATGGGGAAAAACCACCGTCTTAACCTTGGCACACACATACAAGCTGGTATAGTTGCTTCCTATTTGGAAGGAAAAAGTAGGGTGGGAGGAGCTAGTCACATCTTGACTAGAAAGCTCTTTAGAGAAAGTACCATGCCAACACTGTTCAAACCTTCCAAATGGGCCAGATGGTTGGCTGGGGTACCACATGTCGCCAGAAGCCCATTGCTACAGATGAAAGTCTTTCTGCTGGCGTTTGTATGGCACATATTATGGTGTGCTGGTTCTTTTGATGCCGTTGAACATTGATGTGTGCCACGGTAATTATAAACCATAAGTATACGTGATAGCACACGATCAGTGAAATTGCCCAGCTTTCATTCTGCCTGGGAGGAAGCCACATTTACTGCCTGAGAGCATTCACCTTCCGCTCTTTGTAACTGCCCCTCCTTTCTAGCCCAATGCTCACCAACCTTTATGCCTCCCACGCAGCACAGACTCCTGAGGCTAATCACATATATTGTGGAGCCCCAAGTTTCCGAGCATGTCTGGACCAAAAGCCAGGGGCAGACAATTCGGGAGCATCTAAATTAAGCCAAATGATGTTATTTGACGATGTAACAAAAGTGCTTTGGAGGTCACGTAGCAGACAGGTGTACAGCGTAAAAGGAGGGAGGTAAATGGGAGCGAGTCAGCTTCTTTTCAAAAAGACCTGTTCCAAGAGCTGCTGCGTTTCTTTTGGCTTTGAAAGAGCTTGATTCGGAGGCATTCACCTCGGAGGCAGGCGGCACAGTGCCTGTGTCTGAGCCTGTCAACTCACACTGGTTGTCAGGTGCCTGTGTTTACAGGGTGGGGAGAGGTAAGAACCCCGCCATTCCTTCCCAACAAATGCGTAACACACAAATGAAGTGGCTGGGTGGGGCCCTGCCTGGGGCAGGGGACACATCCAGTCTCAACCCAGGAAGCCTCAGGCTGAACCCTACATCTTTAGTTTAAACCCAGAGCCCCAGAGAACACACTTCTTGGCTCTAAAAATAAGAGACTCAGGTTTCCTGATACTCAGGGTTTCTGCTCTTTAACATGTAAATAAATGAATGCCTCAAGCAGGCAAATACCTGCGTGCTGACTTTACAATCTTGTCTTTCAGAAATACCGACAGTATATGGCCGGCCTTCTGGCTCCTCCCTATGGTGTTATGGAAACGGGCTCCAACAATGACAGTAAGTGAAGTGTGAGCATTTTGCATCTGAGAATTTGTTTTGTGGTATGTGTTTTTATGTGGCAAAAAAAAGGTGTGTGTTGTATACCAGCACGACAGAGGAGGCACCCTGACTCTGCTGTGTGTCCCAGACTGGCAGCTCACACTGCAGAGCCTGCACCTGTGGTCTGTGCGCTGTCCTGTAGGGTCTTCATAGCGGAGAGTGGCCGGCTCTGGTGCAGGCTGGGACCTCCATACTGGACATCCGCATGCTTGGAACATTCTGTGCCCTTTTCAGAAGGGGATTCCCAAGCTGTGCTTGTCTCAGCCACATGGGGTCCCCAGGAACCCCATATCTGTTCACTTTAGCTCTATCTACCAAAGGGAGAAGCAGAACCCACCAGTTCTTTTTAAACGGCCCTTCCAATCCCAGGCTTTTGGTAGGTGCTAGGTGCTGCGTGCTCTCCCACACAGGAAGGTCATAGATAGCTTAACTCTGGTATTTAGTTCACACACGTGTGTGCAGTCAAGTGGCATGGTATGCACGTTCAATGTACACCAGCAAAACAAAATCAGACTCCTTTAAGAGATCCACCCATGGCTGAGGTCTAAAGCTAGGGGAGGGGTGAGCTGTCTGGTGCTTTTTTAAAGATCTGTCTTATTTTTTATGTATGTACGTGTGCACAAGAGTGCAGGTGCCTTTAGAGGCCAGAAGAGGGCATCAGATTCCCGGAAGCAGTTGCGAGCTATCTGATGTGAGAGCTAGGAACTGCTTCAGTCTTCTGGGAGAGTAGTACGTGATCTTAACTGCTGAGCCAACTCTCTATTTCCTATCCCTGTTGCAGGTGTGTGTGTGTGTGTGTGTGTGTGTGTGTGTGTGTGTGTGTGTAACATAGTACCGAGCTTGGAGTATTTGAAGTTATGGCACTTTGATGGCCAGATATGGACGTGGCCAACAGCATTTCCACCCTGTTCCTTGCTCCTTTAAGGTCACTGTCATTCTCCAATTTGTTAGTTTCTGCAGGGGCCACCTTCTTGCTTGGCTAGAATCTTCAGGGTTCCTTATCTTCTGTCCCAAGTGTTGCTGTCACTTTCTGTCTCTAGAGCCTCTCCCCACATCTGCCCTCTCCCCACATCTGCCTCCTTGAAAAGGAAGCAGGAAAAAGGAACATCAGCCCTTCCTCCCCCCCCCCCTCTCTCTTTCTCTCCCTTTCTTTCTTTCTCTCCTTCTCTCTTTTTTTTTTTTTTTGTCCTCCCCCTCGGCTGAACTAGAAATAACGGGTTCTTTAGGAATGTCCAAGCCGAAAAAAATCAACTGTGTTATCTTCTTGCTATGTGACCTCAGGCAAGACACTCAGATGCACTGTGCCTCAATTTCCCCCTAGGGTTGTTGTGAGTATTAAAAGAATCCACGCATGCCATGTGTCAAAAGTCTGATGAGCACATGATAATTATGCATCACATCCTCACCCCTAGCCACTCACTAGCCCCACAAGCCTGGCTTCTGCCCCATACTTTTAAATGAAGTACTCCACAGTTGGCCGTCACCATAGCCTCAGTGGCTCCCACTGTTCTTATTAATTTAACAACTTTCCAGCCCTGTTCTCCTTTGGGCCTAAGGGCTCTGCTGCATGATCCTGGTGTTTCCGCTTTACTCTCAACACTTCCACGGTCCTTCTACTTTCTCCTGAAAGCTTAGGAGTCTGAACTTGGTTCTCTCTCCGCGGGTCTCTCTCTCTGGCCAGACTGTGTCTCACTACAGACCCGAGACTAGCCTAACTTGCCATCTTCCTGCCCCAGCCTCCTTAGTATCAAAGATTGCAGGTACAGCCCTGCCCCTGGCTTTTTGAAAAGAAAGGCTTTTCCTTGTGTGTTCAGCACTTCAACCACATGGAAGAGCTGCCATGCTTTCCGGTAAAAACAGCCATTATCAAGTCAATATTCAGATTTCCCAAATATAATATCTTTGTCACAACTGCCGAACTGGACCCTGTCAAGTGGCAGCCACTGTATCTGATCTTGGTGTCTTTTTAAAAATAACAATGATCACATTTATTTGTTTGTTATTCTGTGAACGTTTGTGCAAGTATGTGCCATACCACATGCATGAAAATCAGTTGATAATTTACAGGAATCGGCTCTCTCCTCCCATCATGTGGGTCCAGGGGATTGGACTCAGGTCAAGCTTGCAGCAGCACTTTTAACTTCTGAGCCTTCTCGCCACCCCCGTTTTATTGAGATAGAGTCTTACTAAGTACCTCAGGCTAGCCTCAAACTCATAATTGTCCTGGCTCAGTCTCCCGCACACTAAGATTACAAGTATGTAATCCCAATAAATTATTGTTTAATTTTGAACTGCTCCTTTCCCTTCTTTCAGCTGTTCTTATCCTCCTGTTGTGCAAAGTTCTTTAATGGTGGCCTTTGCCTCCCATAGAAGGTGGCAGCCCAAGGATCTTCACGCCTTATCCCAACTGTCAAGACCTCCAGGGCTGAAAAATCACCTTCAATAGTAGCTTCCCAGAGGCAGCCCAAGGTCCACCAAGAGAAAAAGACCAGGAGCTGCCTCTCGTGGATGCTCCCGTAATGTTTGTAAATGGGTGAACAGATGAACGCATGGAATATTGGTGCATTTTCTGAGCTAAGGTAGCTGAGATAACCCTCGTCTTGAAACAGCCGCTGCCATGCTCAGGCCTGGCCTGAGCACAACAGGAAGGAACTCATTTGCAGAACTTGCGTTCTGGTGGGTTTCCTATGCTGCTTGCACCAGAGTTCAGATTGCTGGAGCAGAAGGAGATGGTTTGTAGCGTAGAGATGTGTGCACGCAGCTAGAGAATAGATTTATCTGTCCACAGTTCTGAGCGTGCTGGCATCCAGACAGTGGGTTAGCTGCTTGCGTGGTGTCAACGAGCCACAGAGAGATTTTTACCACTGGGAGGGTAAAGCGTCTGGTGGACACAAAATAATCCCGCTTTTGCTCCTGGACACATAGCTCCGTTCCTGATGCATTGATTCAGAGCTATGTATGGGTGCCATGGTCTCTCTATGTGAGTTTTCATGGGTGCGTAAACGGAAAACATAGAAGTGTTATTGGCAAAGGATTTTGGTTCCGTTGCAGAGGTTGATCACACAATTCATGGCCTCTCTTGTCTCTCTTTCCTCCTTCTAGGGATTCCCGACAAGGAGAATGTGAGTAGCCACTCTCTCTGCCTAACTTCTGTAACTGTCATAAGGTAAAACACAACCAGAGTGACCTTCCAAGCAAAGGGAGCTCTCCATGCGCAGTCAACAGAGCAATAAATAGTCTCCTAATCTTGTTGTGCCATCTTGGGTGAGTCATTTAAAATACCCAGGAGAGCAGGGCGACTGCTCTGACATGATTGTCACATGTTTCTGGTATTTAGTCCGAAGGAAGGTTATGATAAGGGAACAGCTTGCAAGGGCTGAGGGTTCTTTTTTCCCATGCTGCAGATACGTCAATAAAACAAATCATTGTAATTCTGTGAGGAAAACCGGTTATTTTTCCTTACTGGGAATGTAAATGACGAAAACCAGGGTCTGCTGATGAGTTTGCCTAATTATATCCCAGTGCACTCAATGTTAAGTTGGGAGCTAGACCCCAGCCCCTCGCATCTATCCTAGCTCCCAGGCTTGAGAGTTTTATTGGTCTGGACTCCAAATCCCAGCATGCCAGGTCCTGTCCCCTCCCTTGTGTGTGTGTGGGGGGGGGGGGTCAGGACTACTCCCACAGAGTATTTAAGTGAACGCCCAAAAGAGGATCACGTGATCTCTCTTCCTTCCTCCTGGTGTTCGCTTTCGGGGCCACCCGAGAGCGCAGTACTCCCACTAAACCTGGATATTTCTTAATTTGGCTTGTTTTGATTTGGCTTGATTGGGAATTTGCATTGGTAGAGAGTTTGCGTTAGAAAAAAAATTCCTAACACTGAGATCAGCATTTCTCTTTGGAAACTGAGGATGGCTAATTGCTGTAATTGGTTTCTGAAAACAGGTGAGAGAGGCCATTTAAGACGCAGCTTCCAGGGGCGGGTGTGGTGTTTGACTCCTTTAATCTCAGCACACGGGGCAGAGGCAGGTGGATCTCTGAGTTTGAGGCCAGCCTGGTCTACAGAGAGAGTTCCAAGACAGCTAGGGCTACACAGTGAGACCCTGTCTCAAAAGAACAAACCAACAAAAAAAAAAGGTACAGTTTCCACCAACCGTGTCCAGGGTATGTACCCAGGATAGTAGTATCTCAGCAGCATACTGCTCATGCGGGTAACGACGGTGTTAAATCTATTAAGTGCACTTAATAAATGCTTACGGTGCAGTGTGGACGGCCTCTTGGTGAACATGCCTTGGGATGACCGTCATGATATTTGGCTGGAACGCACACGTACCACCTTGCAAGCCTCTTCTCGATTGCTGGACCTAAGTGACGATGTTACTGAATTGTCACGCTTCCCTTTCTCTGCTCTCGGGCCTGCCACTGTGGGCAGGATACAGTCGTGTTTAAACTCCAGTTATCTCTGCTTTCCTTTCCAGAGCGCTGACTCTGTAAGCCATCCGCTTTTCACAGTGCTGGTGTCTGAAGAGCCGGCTGGCCCTAGCCTACTGCTCCACCACGTCAGGCAGGAGTCCCAGCCTAGGCAACGCCACTTCCAAAGTCACGCCCAAGTTTGACTTTCTTTAGTTCAGGAAAACAGTTCAGAAGGCAGCAATGGGCCATGTATAAGCTGCTTTGTTTGCCTAAACAGCCTTGTCTCGCTTTTTAAAATGCGGCTGTTAGTCATGACTACCTCAAAATTCTATTATGAATATTGAATGAGATCATTTATGGAGCGTGCAGAGTGAGAACAATAGAGCGGAGAAATGTTAGGACTATCACTGTAATTAGTATTTTCTTAAGCACTGTATCATTTTCCAGCTATCTGTTCATCTCCGAGACGTGGCCTCACCCCTTCTAAAGGAACTGTCCTGGGGCCTTTTGTGGCCCTCCTTAAAAGGCTTTTCTTCAGTGACCCTTGCTGCCTATCTTCTGCTGTTGCAACAAAAATAAGAAACAGCAAACCAGCAACGATGCCAACAACAAAAACCCCAAGTCTGTATGTGTCTAAAAGAAGCTAGAGAATTGGTCTCACAAGATCCACCAGCAACAGACTTTCCAGGAAGTAGTTGCAAGCGGATCCTGCCCTGTATGCAGGAGCCCCAATGCATCTATGTAACCGCTAGACTGCAGATCGTGAGGCCAATCAAGATGGCCAGATCACCTCAGATTTCCTCATCCAGGACAGCTGGTGATCTAGAGAATCATACAGATGCCCAAGCCTTGGAAGGGGGCGGGGGTAGCATGTTCTAGGCTTCAAAAGGAAAGTTCATCACTTTTAGTCTCTGGGTGACCTTTAGGTTGGGCATCCCCTGCCGAGGGACCTGCAGATGGAGGACCGTAAGCATTGGCCCTACCAGCTGTTATGTACTCATCTCATAGGAATCTGAATTTTGCAGAACCTCAGTGGAGTGTGGGCAACATATTACCCTGAAAGATTTGGGGGACTGGGCAAGCTGGCACCCAGGTCTTAGTACGAGCAGATACTTACTTGGGTTATTCTTGATCGGTCTCCGGCAAACCATCAAGCACATGGACTCCGTATTAGCAAACAGAACAGATGTAATGATGCCATATGCAATTTGGGAGGATCTCCATGCATAGTCAAATAAGGCAGAGGAGATGAAAGACCTCCCTGAGTAGAGCTGGAGTCCAGAGAGATAAAAAGAGGCCTAAGAGCCCTAAAGTGGGGCTAATTGAAATTTTTCCCTTTAAAGGAACGAGTTGGGATATGATGTTTTCTTTTATCCTTTCTCTTCTTTAAGTACACGCTGAGAGACGCTGTATTCCCTAAATAACGATAATACGCCCGTGGGATGGAATGAAAGAGCTTGGGTGATTGCTCCGGTGCCTGAACCAAGTCTTTGTAGAAGGAATCTATTCTCCTCCCTGGCTTCCACGCGCGGTTTCCTTAATCACCGTGTTTGACTTTTAATCAAACATGAGGACATCGATATGTAGATTTTGAACTACCTTGCCAGCTCTGTTTTATTTCCAGACCAGGTCTTACTGTGCCTAAGAAGAACTTTCTTTTTTTCATTAGTTCCCCATTGCCACTTGCTGGATTATTTTGTCTGCTACCCACTCTGAGGGCTGGGGCCATCAGTGTCAGGTGGACCCAGGATCCTGGAACCTATGCAGTGATGCAGAGATACATTAGAAAAATGAGTTTGGAGCCAAGAATGCAAGTGGGCTGTATTCACACAGCTGTGATTGCTCGAGGCTGTTGGTTTTCTAAAGAAATCCCTCTCTTTGATCTGTTTGAGCAGGAGTTTTATTTTTCTTCTTTCCATGCCATACCTGGCTGATCATGTTTAACACTGAAGTTAAAACCCCAGGTCCCAGCTCTCCAGCTAATGCATACGTGACAGCTGGCCTTTAAGGGAAGGAGCCTTTCTCTGAGATTTGTGCCCCCGGGGAGATTTTGTTGTTTGTTGTGTTGAGTCTTTAGAGAGCCAATTGCCAAGAAGTTTTGTTATTCTGGAAAGTTCTATCCTTTCTGTGTGGAAAAAGCAGGAAAATAGACTCTGTGATCAGGGGGCTGCTGAAAATAAATTCAATTTCCTGAATTACCAACATCTTGTTTCCCTTGAAGTGTTCATCCCTAGGCAGCTACTGAATCGATGGTGTGATGAGCAGATAGGGCCCGGCCCATAGACAGCAGGATCCCCACGGATCTCAAGGTGATGATTCCGAGCAGGTCTGGACACACCTAGGTATGAGCAAGTGAGCTAGCATGGCTCCTTTTCATACAACAGACAGGGAGGACCTCGTGTAACATTAGTTTTGGCGAGAGTTTTTCAAACATTGAAAAACCATTAGTTGTGTAGACGAAGAACCATTCAGGGAAGTCACTTGGTAGATTTAAGGCTTTACCTCATCTCTTGGTAAGGGCAAACTGTGACCAGTTCTTAAACCACCTCATAAAGGAAAGGACCACAGTCTAGGGCAGGCAGCTATCAGTCAGGATGTTAGGGACCTTAACAGCGTTTAGTGACTTCTTTCTCATTGCTGCTACCACTTGTCAAGGTTAGAAAAAGCAGATCAAATGTGTTCCAGCTATTATTTCACTGCTCTCGTGAGATTCTGGGCCTGGTGCAGAGAAAGCAAAGTGTGTGTCCTCATAAAAACTTAGGTTGTAAAAATCTCAGATATCCGTTAAAACTGGGTGAACCCTTTCAATGCCAGCCTTAGCACAGATGCTGGGTTCGCATACTTTTCTGTGGAGCCCACTTTACAACAGCTGCTTGTAAAAGGCCTGCATCAAGTCGTGAGCCTGTGAAGACATCCTGCCTTGGGTTCAAGGCTCTTTAGGAGCTGTTTCCCTCTGCCTTGGGTCCTTGTGGTTTAGCCAGGACCTTAGCACCGATGCAGATCTGAATGCACGTGTGACCGACACGGGGCCCAGAGAGAGCTTCCACAGAACAGAACAACACAATTCTAGGGCCTCAGAAAATCCCAAGCCTGCCTTTTTGGAATTTGAAGGGCAAATTGCTTATCGCCAGGGTAGAGATTAGATTTAGCCAAGCTGTTCCTGGGTCCGGCAACTTGTGTGGTGTGTAAATACTGATTTATTTTTTTATTTAAAAAAAAAGGCTGGCCTGTTAGGAAGGGTGGAGCAGCCAGCCAGCCAAGACTGTACTCTGCTCCACCTCCCAGAAATCACCAGTGACTTCATGGCCAAGGTGCCAAGGACAACCTCAGCTCTCTGGCGTCTGAAGAGATGTTTGTTTTTGTATTTGTGAGTTATGCGTTTTATGGGAGGAATGTCCTTGGAGGGTTTCCCTCTGCCTTTTCTTCTCTCCCTTCATCGGCTGCAATCAAAGTGGACCGTCCCATGTCTCTCTAGCTTCTGCCGTGACACAGTGGCTGAAGTTTTAAGATGGTTTGTAGTTGCTGTTTGTCTAGCTAGGAAGCAGCCGATGTAGGTAGCGCCCTAAACTTGGATGCGTCGTTCATTAGGTCAGGGGGTTGGTGGCATCTGATTGTTTTCCCACTTGGAGCCTGGTACCTGCTGACTGTGAGTTTGCCTAGTGAGGGGGATGCTTTGGGTATCCTGGGTGGTGCCTCACTGTGTATTTTAGAA